AGAGGGAGGGGTCAACTTTGGTCTTTAGAACATATCCTAGCGCTCTACTTGATATTTACTATAAAAACAATAAACTAACTTGTTCATAGTAGGCGTCTGGAATATTTGGCTGGCAAGAAATATAAAGTCTTTAATAATGTCACACTCTCATGCTCAACAATCAAAGATAACTCTATGCAAACAATAATTTTTTTTGGAAACATAGAACCAAGAAGGAATCAAGGAAAATAGCTATCAAAGTATGGACACAAAAATAGGAAAAGAGCTGAAAGTTCAAGAGCGACAACAACAGGTTGATATGATCAAATAGATAAAGAGCTGAATTGGTAAACTTGTTCCTTCTTCTTCTTTTATTTTTATTTTCATTTCCTCTAGTTTTGAGTTCTTTTTCTTCTTCCTGTTTTCCTCACTTTGTCTATTGTTCTCCTTCTCTTTTCTTTGCCACCTTGGCTTTGCATATGTACCACTTGCATTTCAAATTAATTTAAATTAGGTAAGGGCTTCCCCTCAAGTTCCTAAAAAAAGATATGTGTGCTTATGTTCTTTCAAGTGCTCTCTATTTACCCAAATCCACAAAATAGTTTGGTAACCTCGAGCCAATCATTTCAGTTTTACTAAAGAAGATGCAACCATTGTTGGTTTTGTCACACCTGGTTTTCAGAATAAAACCAAGCGCTAACTATATTTGTTCCCAAAATGTCCATATTACACATATAGCAACAAATATGAAAAATATAAAAAACTGGTTTTGTTACATATCATTAAATATCATTACATGAAGCCCACAAACCTTTAACACAACTCTAAGTAAATGACTTCAAATCTCCTTGGTCACTGCATCTACCATGCAGACATCAACAGGGGAAGCACTTGTATGGTTCTCTTGGAAATCCTTAGGAAACTTATCATAAGCTTCTACATCTGATTACCTATCTAGGATTTTGTTGAAGTATAGTAAGTGTGACGACCATCCTACTCAACTATTATAACATATGTTTATGCAATGCTCAAAACGCCCGAGTCTACTACATGCGGTAAGCATTTTTAGTTGATCATATTTTAATATGTGAAAACATTTTTTAGCAAACCCACATGATTAATGGTGAAACAAACTGGAATTTCCAAAATAGAAATTCTGACTCTTTTGCTTGTCTGTGATAGTCCTAGGATATCTCGTCTGCATCCAATTTTCAACTCAGTACATTGCCATACAACATCAGAGTACATAAATAAGGTTTTTTTACAAAAGTTTGGATACAAGTCCTTGGAGCTAAATAAAAAATACCTATTTCTTAATTGTAGTTGCGAAGCTTGGCGATTCTCCAATCCTAAGGCATCCTTGAGTGTGGATGAAACCGACTACTATCCTCAACTCCATTGCAAGTCCAAAAATATGCACGCCATTAGATGTGTGCGGGCCATGGTTGGCACCAATGATCTTTAGTGAAAAATAGAAAATAAGGGAGCAGGTGATTCTAGTGCTCACACAAGAGCTCTAGAAATTCGATCCGGCTAGACCACTTGGCGCTCTTCACACCTCACTTCTACTAGGGTTGCTCTTTGCATGTCCCGTGGGGTGAACACACACCCCTCACAAATCCTTCTCCAGAGCCACACACAACCTTCATGTGGGCTTCACAGTGGAGACCACAAGCCACCAAGCCATCTAGAAGGTGGTGACCTCCAAGAGTAACAAGCATCACCAGCTTGCAACACGAACACCTAGTGCCACTCGATGCAATCTCTTAATGCAGCGCACTAGGAATCGTTGTCTCACAATCAAATGCAATCACCAACTAAGCATGTGAGGTGGTGGCTAAAAACACTCCTCAAATGGTGGACACTAAGGGCGCGTTGGGTTCGTAGCCGGAAGTTGCTGCACCATGCCACAGGTTTCGCGCGACATATGAGTCACGTGTTTGGTTAGCTGCTGAAGGTTTGGCGCCGCCAGCGCTCGCCATGCGACGTCAGTTCATTTTGCCTCCATGGGATGCCAAATTTGTGGCGAACGAATCATCCACCGCACTTGCAGCGTGGCCACGTCTGCGGCATGGCGTGCGTAGGCAGGCCCCAAATAGGGCCTAAGTCCCCAATGTGCTCAACAGCACTCTCTGGTTGGCCACCCCTTCTATGTATAGAACAGGGAGCAAAACTAGCCATTACAGGCGCAAAACCACCCCTCACTAGAATTTCTGAGATGGGAACCCGGAAATTCCGTGGCGGCCCCTACTATCAACAACCAACGGTAAAAAAACTTGATCATTCAGCAGCCACACTAGCCCACACCAGAATTTTTGGGGTGGGCTACCCGAAAATTTTGGTTGAAGTCCTTCAGCATCCAAACTCAACTAAAACGGCCATAACTTCTTACTTCGAACTCAGATTTTGATGATCTTGGACCTTTTGGAAAACTTATTCAAAGGGCTACATAACCCACTTGAATATTTGATCCAAAATACAATGTATCAACATAGAATTCCAATCCAAGAACCATCCCACAGTAGATTGGAATTCCATCCAAGAACCATCATCCCACAATTCCAATCCAAGAACCATTCCACATTGGATCAACACACCAAAAACCTTTTTTCAAAAGCATGCCGACTTCAAATGATGTCCCATGGGCTGGGATGATCAACACCTTTAAACCTTAGTTAGCATTTTCTAACCATTTTCAAAGGTTTTTCTCTCAACTTTCAATCGTCACTCGATCCTAGCAACGCATACATGCAGTGTTAGATTGCTCAAGTGGCATAATGACCGATATGCAAATAAGTTTGTCCCTCTTAATAGTATGGCCATCTATTCTAAACCCTGTCAAGCTCCTCTCTCCTCAACCTTAGACTGGTGAAATGAAATGCCATATACATAAACCTTTGCCTTGCACATTCCATTTCATCTCATCCGCCAGTGATGCCACACAAGCATCCAACCTCCATGATGCCACTTGCAATCAACACAAGTCTTCGATGGCTGGATGGATACCTCGTAGGTGATATGATCCACTTCATGTCATCATGTGGTCTTATTGGTTCATCGATTGGAACTTCGCTTGCTCTTCAACGTTGCACCCGGTCCATCGACACCAAGTCCTTTCTCTTGCTTCACCGCCACATGGTCGATTGCACCCGAGCCTCTGACTTGCCCTTCACAATAGCAACCCGGTCCTTTGTAGCCAAGCCATGTTTCTTGATCTTCTCCACCTAGCCACATGACACCATGTAATGTCTCATATACAATGAGCTCCTTCAAAACACTAGTTGAACACTTGGAACATAATCAAGCCACCTCTCCACAACAGCTTTAAGTGTTGCTCACACTAGTGTACCTGTGGACTAATCCCTGTGTAAGACATGGGTGGCAGTTTAGTCCTTATGGAGAGAAATTAGAGCATAAACCCAATGTTCTAGCCCCTAAGTCCACGATGCTGAAAAACACCTTTTAATCAATAGTTGCATATACCCTTAACCAATATTACATATCATTATAATTGGTGGTAGCAAACTAAGATAGTCTAACCACATGCAAAAACCCATTGGTAACAAGGAACAAGGATCAATGTCTAGGTAAAACCTTAGCTTATATCAGATTAGACACATGCACATGAATATGTTGTATTAAATGTGAATAGGTATAAGGAAACCTCATATTATACTTGCCTTGCTTGTATTGTTGCTAGTTTTGGTTTTCAAAGAATAACTCCTGGTCACCATCATTCTGCACATGATATAACATGAACTCTTTAGTTACCGCTTTTATCTCTTCTACTTGTGTTTAGCCTGTGTGTCCTATACCTTCCAAGATTATCTATAGGCTAGATAGGATGGGCTCTAGGTTGCAAAATTCTTTTCGGGTTGAGGCTAAGTTAAGCTAACTAGAAAAACTTAAGTGCACATCTTGCTTGAGTAGTGTATAGTTTTTCTTGTGGTAGCTTAAGTTGAGCCCTAGGTTTGAGGTTTGGAAATTAGACACCCAATTCACCCACCTCATGGGTGCTCACATGGCCTTGCACCAACAAACAATTCAAGCACATTGTCCTAGGTCCTAGGACCACCGGAAATGGGTGCTTGAAAGTGTGGTTGGCTCGATCTGGCACTGGTGATCTGACCAAAAGCACCGCTACTGGGAAGCGACTGTCCTCCAAACCCTAGCTGGTGCCTCCACCTCCACTTGTGGGACAACGTGACGGGGAGGAGGCAAGGTGCTATATGGTGGTGGAAGATGTGGACCCGTGAGATGATGGAGGATGGTATGGGGGCGAGGTGAGACGAGGTGGATCGATGGAAGGAGAGGGAAACACGAGCTTCCAGGCACAGTTCATGTGGACATCAGTTTTTTGTTAAGCAGGAAAGGTGAGCATGGCATTTTGAGGAAAAAAAATCGCACGACACGCATGAGGTAGTGTGATAAGGTGTGGTACATGGGTGACGTACAACGAAAAACCGGCTACGTGGAGGGAGGGTGTGCGGAAAGAAAAAAAAATAGGTGGTGTGCAAAAATTAGTGGCTGTGAAAAAAAATCATCTAGAGGGAGTGTGTGGTCAGCGCTCCATTTCTCCTGCTAGATAGACGATGATATCTTGGTCTTTTTAGTTGTAGAGATACACTAGCTTTTATTATCCCTAGAATGCAACCCTATACAATTTAGAGATCAATCCGCGCCCTACCTTATTTTAAAATAGTTGCATTCCTTTTATTCTTGACGATTTGATGCAAATATACAGAAGAGGCGTTCGGACTGATCATGGAGTGATGGTTGACAACGTAAAGCCGCTGGATCAAATGAGTTGGACGATGGCTTTAATTTGGCACATGACAGTTTCATGGGCACCAAAATTTCTCTGTTTTTTCTCTTTGCCATAGTATGGTTTACCTTTGGCCATGCCTTTGAAGTAAACTTGGTACGCACTACTCACTTTAATTAACATCCATGAGATTAATTATAGGCAGAACTGAGCTCAGCTTGTGGCTTGTACTCTGCACCCTGTGCTGCACACAAATCTACCTCGGCTGAAGCTCTGAGATGGACATCTCGTTCTCTGAAACCGCGGCCGTTGAGCGCTGCTGATCGCCAATCAGCACACTGTCAGAACTCCAAGAACCGGCTGTTGGGCCACCTGAGGCAGCAGCAGTGAAGCCGGAGCTGAAGGCGAAGGCTGGCCTAGACGGGGTTCGCCTGTCATCGGAAGTGGAGGTCGGACTGCTGAGCATAAGCACCACAGCAGAGGCGTCCGGCCGATCGGCCGGGTTCTCTTGGACGCATAAAAGCCCGATCTCAATGCAGTTGAGGACCTCGCTTTCTGAATACCCCGATTCGGACAGCAATGGGTCAACCACATCTGCTGTCGAACCTGTTCTCCACTTCTCCCAGACCTGCACAGACCATTGATTTCATATATGAGTATGTATATGAAGAAATACATGGGACACGGGAAAAATCATTTAGCAACATCGCACACTTACATGGCTCAGCACAGACACGGAGTCTATTTCAGAGTCGTATGCACAGTTGTTCCTTCGCCCGGTCACCATCTCCAGGACTATAACACCGAAGCTGAACATGTCTGACTTGGAGGAGACGTGCCCCCAGTAGGCATACTCCGGGGACATGTACCCGCTGCATGCATCAACAATGTGCTATCAAGATCAGCAACTAAGAATTAATCGAGCTTATTGACTAATTATATCGATTGGCACACTCTGTTAGATCTTGGGACATACAGGGTTCCGACAGGTCGTCTTGTTATATCCCTAGATTGGTCTCCTTGGAAAGCTCTGGCGATGCCGAAGTCTGAAATTTTAGGGTTCATATCCGCATCGAGCAACACATTGCTCGGCTTCAGATCTCTGTGGATGACCTTCAGGCGGGACTCCACGTGAAGGTAGAGAAGTCCCCGTGCAATACCGCAGATGATGGCAAACCTCTTGCTCCAATCCAGCTGCTGCCGTCTCACTGGATCTGCATGTTCACAACAAGAGACTAAAATTAGAGGATCAATAATCCATGTGATTTCTCTTACTTGAATTTGAACAGTAGTTTGATGTATACCGAGAAGGAAGGTATCTAAGCTTCTGTTGGGCATGTACTCATAGATGAGTAGCTTCTCTTCTTTCAGGCACACCCCCAGGAGCTGCACCAGGTTCCTGTGCTTGAGTTTGGCAGCCAGCACGAGTTCATTCTTAAGCTCGTGGAAACCCTGTGAGGAATTCTGTGAAAGCCTCTTCACAGCTATCTCTTCCCCGTCCTGTAATGTGCCCTGCACAAAGCAGAGAATCCAGTGGCCACTCTCTTTTTTTTTTGAAAGATCCAAGAACATATGTTCCGGCTTTTGTATATTAATAAGAAGAGGAGAATTGACCCAGTTTATAAGGAAAACCGGATCTAAAAACCATACAACAGCTACTTATATCAGCTGCACAACTTGTATCACTACCTACAACTACGAGCTCAGTCACGAGCTCTAGTCCTGAAGCAACTAGAGAAAACGAGATCTACAAGGTTCTCATGGACACTGCCACAAGCCACATACAGTCTTCAAGTCATTATTGCCAAGCGCATCAACTGGGCGGCGGCTCCGACTTCCCAAAGACATAAATGGTTGCCATCACCGAGCGAGGGGTGCTAGACGCGACGCCAAATGCCCACGACAATGCCTTCAAGAAGGACGCAACCCCAAAGGTGCTGTCATCACCGGCCCACAACAGACACGGTTTTCACCTAGGGAATCTAGCAGACTAGGTCGGGGTGGACGCCTTCAAGGAGGAAAGCGGCACCCGCAAGCGTTGCCGTCCAGGCTTTAGCCCTAACCTCAACCGTAATACCGCAGTTGGCTGAAGAGTACATCCGACGACATGACAAAGGAAGCACCTGGAGAACCTGAAGAAAGCGCGCATCTAGCCGCAAAGGACCAACACCACCAACTATGCCGTGCCACATCAAGGCCTTCATGCCTTACTGTCCGCGGCCACCTGCACAGGGAAACCTCCATGCCCACGTGCCGAGCATAGATTCAGGAGGATGTAGCCTCCTCATGCGGCACTGGATCTGCCACCTTCGCTGCACCGTCGCAGCCCCACAGCGCTCTGTCCGCCGTGCCGCCGCATGCCCCTCTGCCGAGCGCAGTGGCCGCGCCTCACTGCCATCGCACGGCTTTCACATGGCCACCGCTTGGCCCTCCGTGGTCCGTGCGGTTCGCCATGCCAGCCACCACGTGGCCCTCCGCGCCTGTTCTCTGCAGCGTGCGGCTTGCCTCCACGCCACCGCCAGTCGTCAGCCCTCTGCGCCGGCGTCATGCAGCCCTTCGCCCACCACGTGGCCCTTCGAGCCACTCCTCCGCAGAGCGAGCTGGGCGCACCACCACGCTGCTATCACCACCGCTCAGTCCTCCGCGCCTTCATCGCGCGTCTAAGAAAAATAGACCTTTGGCCTATTTAGTTTGGATTTTGGTGTTTGATGATCAACACAACCAAATTGAACTAATATGTTTGCAAGTGTTTATTTTGTAATCTAATAGATTCAATAGCGGACTTGGATTTAATTGAAACAAGAAGAGTGTGATCAACACCGAAAAGAAGACATTAGAGGAGGTGTTGATAACCTAAAAGTGAAACAAGAAGTCTAAGACGCAAAGATGAAGAAGTCCGGAAGAAGGATCACGAAGAAACGAACAAAGGGCAAAGCTGCAGCTGACATCGAACATGACGGTGTGCACCGGATAGGTCCTGTGCACCGGACATGGGCACCGCCATATTTTTTCAGAGACTATGCAAATCAGATGGAATTGTCCAGAGGCGCTGTGCACCGGACAGTGAACAGTGTAACGACTAGTTTGAACATATAGCCGTTGGGAGGAGGGCACTCGACTGTGAACTATACTTGTTCTGTGCACCTTAAAGTGAACAATACAGGCATCAGACAGTGAACAATACTTGTCCGATGCACATCCAAAATTTCTACAGCGCCTCCAACGGCTAGTTTTGAGTTGGGGCTTATAAATACTACCCCCAACCAGCCAAATGAGATGTGAGGGAGCAAGGGAAAGCTAGTGAGGTTTGCATTCCTCTTGATCATAGGTACTTGCGCGCACCGTGCTTGTACTCGACGGGGCTTGTAGTCTTCTGAGACCACATCAATCGTGCTTATGGTGTGACCGCCACTGTGTACCGAAGGGAACAAGGCCCGCGGCGGTTCGGCCAGAAGCTCGATAGTGAATACGGCGGGGAGCGGTTCGGGAGAGGCTTGTCGGAAGGCACACCGGAGACCCACTTGCCCGTGGGGAAGGCCCGTATCCATGGAGTTACCCGACCGGGATCTTGGCCCTTGCGAGGGATTCCTTTCAAGGGGCTCCAACGAGGACTAGGGGGAAGGTTGAGCGCTTCTCGATACGTCGCTAAAAATACCGGAGTCATCGACGGGAGTTTTCATCTCTATCGTCCTTCTATCTCCTGCATTTATATTATGTACCTACCAAAACTGTAGTTGCACATTTAGATAGATTACTTTCTTGCATAGGTTTTGATTAGGTGGAATTAGAGGCCGTAGTTAGAAGTAGAATTTTAAGTTGCCTATTTCACCCCGCTCTTAGGCGTCACGGTCCTTATAGCGTGGACGTCCATGTTGCTCGTGCTGCACCACCGTCGTGTGTCACTGCGTCACCCACGGCCTCTGAGCCTCCTCGCTCATTGCCCGAGCTCTGCAGGCGCTGCCTGGGCTGGAACAGCCAGATCCATGCATCAACTCACTAGATCTGGCCTCTCCACGCAGATCCGGCCAGGGGAGAGGCGGATCTGCTCGCCGGAGCACTAGGGCCGACCACCGAAGGAACCATCGCTGTTGGAGTTTTTTCGGGTCCCAACTAGTCAGAGAAAACCCTGCCGCCGCCTTCCTCACGGGAGCATGGGCTGCCGGTGGGCTGCTTGGGCGGCGGCAAGGCAGGCGGGACGGAGGTTTGTGGGCGGTGGCGCTAGGGTCGGGGGTCCGCCCGAGCCGTCCCACAGGAGCGACGTGGGGGCGAGGTGCTTTTAACTCATGACCTACACTGCCGCTCATAGTGGTTACTCTTTGGATGGGTGTAATCTCAACTATACTTTTAGGAGGTGTGTAAATGATAGACTTATGAATCTTTGGCTAGAGTTAGTTCAATTAGCCTCTACTATTAGTTTTGCTAAAGGGGAGGATTCTTTGATTTGGCAGTTTAACTCTAATGGTGTTTACTCTTCCCAGTCCTTGTAGGGTTCACCTCTTTCTTTGGCTGTTTTCTAAGAATAAGTTACTGACTAGAGATAATATGAGTATTAGAAGAAAGGTAGATGACCAGTCCCTGCCTGTTCTGTTCTTAGACTGAACCAGGTAATCACACCTTTTCTTTGAGTGTGTGGTAGCTAGACAATTGTGGAGCTATATGTCTGAGATTTTGGGCAGGGACGTCGCCATAGATTTTGTATCTTTAGGTACCATGTGGCTGAGCAATAAGAAAATTTTAGTAGCTAATATATTTTGTGTTGCTGCCCTGTGGGGGCTATGGAATGGAAACTGAGGAATAATCTATGCTTTTAGGGGCTATTGTGGAAGGATGGCCGTGTGCTGTTATTGAAGGTAATAGCCATGATACAAAGCTGGTGTGTCCTCTGTCCAAAGGAGAAACAGGAGGAGTTCTTGATACGGCTGGAGAAGATGAAGTCTGCCCACAAGACCTCACAGGTTACCTGGTTGAAATAAAGTGGGTAACAAATTGGAGAGGTTCCTATTCCAAACTGCGAATGACCCAAAGAGCACAAATGTACCTGAGGAAGCTGAAGTTTTGCTGATGGATGGCACTAATGGAGCAGGCGATGTTGGAGAGTAAACGGGTCAGTTTGTCTAAGTTTAGCAATGTTTGGGGGATGTAATCTCTGATCTTTAGCTCAGCGTTGTTTTCTCGGTTTTAGTTTTTTTTCTCCAGTTAGTATGGTTTAAGGTACTTTGCTTTAAGGTTTTGATGTAATAAACACTATATCTGTTGGTCTTGGTAATGCAAAGGCGCGGGCTATGCCCTTGAACTCTAAAAATAGGCAAAGAACCTGTTTTCCCCATTTTTCGACAAATCAGTCATATATTTTGATTGTGCATTTCAGTTAAAGTGACAACCTGATACTCTAGTACTGCACAGTATGCATTCCAATTCACGATAATAGTGCATCATAACTGAAAGTACCTAGTATGTTGTAACATTGCATTTTGTGTATATATAGAGGAAAATGTACCTTGAACACTTCACCAAAACCTCCCTCTCCAAGTTTGTTTTCATCTGAGAAATTGTTTGTTGCAGCTCTTATCACAACTAGATTAAGTTGCTCGGACACAAAATATTCAGTGTCCTCTTCTTTGCTACTATTGTTGTCTGTCACAAAAGGAATAACATATATCCATAAGGATAAGATGAACTTAATATAGTTCAAATTCTGGCGAGAGGCTGACATTATTATTAAGTGGAATCTAGTGAGAGCATGCCCATCAAATTGAGAAATGAAATATCATTTTTCCTTAAAATCTATCATATAAGGGATGTGGAGGACAAAAACACGACTGAGTAGATAGAGAAAAAGACCCATTTCCTGAAAATATTTCCCCAATTGAAAAAAAACAATTCGCAATACACTAAAGAAGGGCAGCACCCAGCATCTGCTTCCTTTCTCTGCCTCTTTGCACTAGGTTTACTCACCTGTGTTGTAAAGGTTGTGCGCAGATCACCAAGCCACTGCCGTGCCAAGGCTACAATCGTTGACGATGGAGAGAGAGTGTGCGGGGTGATGGGAAAGTGGAGGGGGTAGCCGGGCACCAAGAGGCGAGAGGGAGAGGAAAGAGAAAAATTATTCGCCCCACTTACAAATGGGTCCCACATGTAAGTGGATGTAAGGGGATGAGGCTTTCTTAGCCTCCCGCATCAAACCTCCATTCTTAACTTGGAATCCTGTTTTCTCAATTTCGTTTAAATAGATACAGGGGGATTGAGTTTTCTCAGGCTGCTGGAGATTCTCCTTTCTTAGAAGTAACATCTTGAAAAGAAAAGGCCAAGTGCAAATGTAAGTTTTTTTAAAAAAAAATGGCCCATAGTTAATCTCATAGTTAAATTAATTTAATGTTAGTACTTTTTTATATAGCTTTATTAAACTTTAAATTGTTTGGCTCCTCAAGAAATGAGAATTTACATATATTCAAAAAACTGAGAATTACATCTTTTGTGGGTGGAGGCAGTATAATAATAGTTCAAAGACAACATTATAATTTATAAAACGATATAATCAAAAAATCCTTTTCATCAAAATTAAAGAGTCCTTTTGGATTCCCCATCACGGCACCCAGATTAACGATTCAACCGCTGGCAAGTACACGTAGATCTTAATTAACTAGGAGCATGGGCGTACCTTGTGGATTTTGCTTCTGCTTGGCCTTATTTCGTCTGTACAGGAAGATACCAACGACGACGACTGCAGCAAGCACCGTTCCAACAGCGAGCGCGACCGGGAGAGTCGTGCCGAAAGTCTTTTTTCCTGCGTTCCAGCCAGTTGTTATCTTTTTTTTTTCTTTTTGAGAACATACAACACCACGCACATTTCATTAGTGGTACTGTATTTCATTAGGGTTCGGTTAGCTGGGAATGGGCAGGAATTATTCCAGCACATCAAAGGCTATGTAAATTAGTCAAGCATTCCTGATGGGAATTGTTCTAGGCAACCATTCTAGCTCAACCGAACGATGCCTTAGGGAGAACAGAATGCGACTCTCTGTTGGTTCATATATATATATATATATATATATATATATATATATATATATATATGAACCATGCCATCTTCATCCTGTGTTGTAGCATAGAGCGAATAGCGAGAGTGTAGTCACGATACAAGGTTACTGAGAGAGATGCATGTGATCGATTCGAGTTTTGTTTGTCTGGTTTCCACGTCTAAGTACAAAAAGAAATTATTCTTTTAAAGGTAGTAGTATCTCAAAATAAAGTACCTAACAAAAATCTATAGAAACTTGTCAGCAAGGATACGGTGTAAAGTTTGGAGTAACGTTCACTAGAATTCACCTTATTTTTTCTGCCATATATGTTTATATTGAACAAAGTCTATACAAACTCGTCAACAAGAATATAGGGTGCTGTGAAGTTTAGATCAGACAAGAAGGTTCACTAGGGCTCAATGATTTTTTTCTCTTGCCATGTTTATAAGCAAGACATAGAAAAGTTTATTTTTCTCTTCCACTATAAGACACGAGCATAACTGCTAGTAAAACTTATATCTATCTATATATCTCTTATAATTCTCAACCCCACTAGAATTGTATCTCGACATGCCATCAACAATCCACTACCACATGCAATTAAGCTATCCACATCAGCAAGCGCCTCATCATCGTCAACTAACAATATTTATTATTCATATTAGCATTACCACGCTCCAATTCATTCATGATTTCCGCAGCAGCGTGCAGGATATGCTTCTAGTATATAGTATAATGCATACAAGTTCACAAGCTCACCTGGCCGACCTACTCCAGCGAAGGTCGAGGGAGCTGGAGCTGGAGCTAGAAGCGGTGGCCCATCGAGGGCCAGATCATAGTAGGGGTAGACCTCCATGCGCAGGTAGCAGTTGTAGCCGATCACAATCCCGCCCCTGTGACCACGGCAGCACGACGGCAGCTGCTGCACTGAGTCATTCAAGCACTTGGCGCACTCCGCCGCCGTCCGATCCCTCATGCACTGCAGGAGCCCATACATGGTGCCGTTGGGCGCAGTGGCATCGTACACTGCCGCCCCTGTTGCGAACATCGGTGCTGGCGATGGCGTGGTGGAGCCGTTGACGACGCGCCCGGAGAGGCTACTCATGAGCGTGCTATAAGCTGTCTCCAAGACAGCCGTGTTTGAGACCACAAAGTTGTTGTCCATCTCCTGCCGGTACGTGTCCTCGTAGGCCGTGGATGCGTTCGTGTCGGCGTAGCTGACGAAGCAGAACATCGGCGCCGGATATGTCACCGTGGAGCCGTCGTCGTACCAGATGGCTGCGCGGCGGGTGGTGTTGCAGCGGCTCCTGATGCCGAGCGCGGCGTTCTGGAGGTACGTGGCGCACTGAGCTGGCGTGGAGTCGCCGCGGCAGATTCCGCGGACAAAGGCGCGGTCAGTGCCGTTGCCACGGGACAGGGAGGCGAAGCCCGTGGGTGCCGCGGCCGACGGGAGCGCGTCCAGGAGCGCGACGACGTTGGACCAGAACGTGCTGTTGGTGGAAGAAGAGGCCGCCGTCAACGACGATTGGCAGTCGAACCAGGTCCACTCGCTGTCCGCGGATAGCACGACGGTGAAGAGGCTGGCCACCATGGCAAGGAAGAAGAGCAGGCCAGAGCCACGGGATGGAGACGACGGCATGGTGGTGTTCCGGAGGTGTGGCGACAACGGCACTGCAGGAATCTCATCCCACACTTGGATGATTGCACGCTGTGACGTCGACGGATGCCGGACCAACCCGATGGTAAAGACTTGGTGCAGGGACTGTTCGATTGGCAAATATAAGACTGAACTTGCCTGATGCCGTCGACTATGACGACACATTTGTTCGTTATATCTTTTCCTAAGACTAGGTTCATGCCCGTGCGTTGCTACGGGATAGTTAATATTTTATACTAAAAGCATACGGATCGCACGATAAGATAACAATACTATAAAATTAAATACCAATGTTAAAGTGACATTTAATCATCACCTTGACCGCTCGCTTTAACGTTGGTATTTAATTTCACAAATTTTGTTTTTTGGATTAAATATCACTTTAAAGTTGTTATTTAATTTTACAGTATTGTTATCTTATCGTGCGATCCGTGTGCTTTTAGTATAAAATATTAACTATCCCGTAGCAACGCACGGGCACGAACCTAATACAGGTAAAAATACATAATGTTCTTAATGGCTAAAGTAGTATAGTAGGTATAAACACTTGACGAAAAACTTAGCCTTGTACCGACGATAAGAACTTGTCTTGTGCTGGAGTACAAGAAGATTGGATGCATCGAACAAGATATAATCCTTTGTCCTAAATGCATAGAACTACCCCCAATTGCTAAAAAGGTTGATCTTACAGAACAAAAAAGAAAAACAAAGTTGCCGATTTGTCACTTCAATGACAGAATTCCTCCCAACTTTCTGTGTAGTGCTTTACTGTGGCATCGCCTCATGGGAACCAAAGTTCTAGCAACAACATTCAGCGGCACGAACAAGATCCGCGCATATGCGCACTGCGCAAGAGATTCAGTATGCAATTCAGTACCTATTTCATCAGCAACATCACATCGGCAGCCAAAAAAAACTTCATCTCCTAAAGAATTCACGCTCAATCTTTACTCTGCGTGCGTCCTCCTCGTCCAGCCAGGAATCACTCTACTGCTGATCAACCTCAGCGGCAACACGACGACCCAGGTCTCAGTGACGGTGACGACCCAAGGGACGGTGGCGGCGCACAAGCATGGCGCAAGGAAGCACGTCGGCGGCAGGAAGTTCCGGCACGTCCACGGCCCCAGCTTCACCGGCGTCGACGAGGCAGCCGGCACCGTGAGAGATGAGTACCATCTCACCCCAAGGATTGCAACCTGAGGAGCCAGGTCATGCTGCTGAACGGCAGGGCGTTGGCCACCGACGCGGCGGGGAACATCCCGACACTGGAGGCTGTCAAGGTGGATGCGGCACAGCCCATCGCTGTGGCGCCATACTCCATCGTGTTCGCTCGCATTTCACATTTCAATGCCCCGGCATGTAGCTAGAGTAGTAGCTAGATGGGTAGTAGATTCATAATGGGTTTGGCGTGATTGGTACAGCTAAGCTTTCCATCTGGTAAGATGAGGTGAAATGAGGTACAAGGCATCTGTCGAAAGAAAAGGGATGCAATGTGAGTTTGTTTTCTTTTTATTCTTAGAATTGTAGAAGGTTGAAGAAATTATGATGAACAACGATGGGAAGGGGAAAGGCTTGTTCCCATTGTCTTTCAGTTCATGGTTGGAAACACCAGTGAAACATATTTGAGAGTGGTATTGGCGAAATTTGCTGAGTTCAAGGAAAGTATCAACTTTTCAAAAGCAAAAATGGAAAGCATCTAAGAAGAACTTTGCTTGGAACCAAAGAAATTCCAGAATATTGTGGTGCACCGAGAAAAAGGAGAATTTGATTTGACTTCAAGTTTCAAGGTCTGTTTGGGAAAGAGGAATTCAAAACAGAGAAAATGAATAAAACACAGGAATATGAAACATGTGTACGTTGAAAATAAATAAAGGATTGAAAAACACATGAATTTTATAGGAACAGGTGGTTGGAACACAGGAACATAAGACATGTTTATTCCTCCATTCTATTGAACAAGGACTTATCATCCCTCCATTCACATGTAGGAAAAATTTCCAAGAGTTTGGAGTGGATGTTTTATTTCCTCCATTTTATGAAAAGCAAGTATTTCCATAGGAAAGGAAAACTTCATTCCTCCGTTCCAAACACTATGTGATGCAAGCAAAACAAAGGAATTAGATTCCTTTGAAATTACTCCAATCCAAACAGGGCCTTGGGTTCTTTTATGAACTTGTCGGCAGCAGCCATGACAGTATACAAACAGCATTCGTATTCCGCAATAACGCAGAGCATAACATTGGATGATTGGAATGGGCATCAACACAGCAATACAGAGTTACCACCAGTACAATGCAACAATCATGTATCATTGTTCAAAGATTTCAACATCATCGCCATCATCAAAGGGACTGGGAAAATTTGGCAGACGCAGGACATCTGTTCTCTTCTACGTGGAGCTACAGGGAGTAAGAGTAAGGCTAACAGTAATGCCTCCAGGAGGCCCAAAGAGAGAATACGAACAGCAGCAGCAATCCTGAAACAATGAGACCAAAACAACAGCAGTGCAGCTAGACGGCTAGCGCACAATACACAAGAACTGGCGATTTGGCAGGAGTTATTCAAGATGTCCACGGTCGGTTGATCGTATACTTCTGCTGTGCTTGGTGTGGCCCTTACAGATACTTGAACAGAATGCCACCTTGGGTGGCGAAGAAGGGGGCAAACACGAGGGACTCCACGGCCATGAGCTTGATGAGGATGTTGAGGGACGGGCCCGAGGTGTCCTTCAGGGGGTCACCAATGGTGTCACCGATCACAACAGCCATGTGGCAGTCAGATCCCTTGGGGCCAAGGGTCCTCGCGTGCTCGCTGGCACCAGCCTGAAACAAGCAGTGGGTGAAATTGAGGAGAAAGTTAGCACTGACCATAGATGAACAGACATGGTGTTCAATGAGACTTTTTCAGGACATTCACCTCAATGTACTTCTTGGCATTGTCCCATGCACCACCGGTGTTGGAAGCAGAGATGGCAATCTGTCGAAAGCAGAAATCCATAAACCCTAGAACAAGCAAACACATTGAAGTGCACAAAGAGTAGAAGGCAAAACGCACACCTGCACTCTAGAAACCAGGGCACCAGCAAGAACGCCAGAAAGAGTCTCAACACCGAAGAGGGTTCCAACAATGAGGGGAGTGAGCATGACCAGAGCACCCAGAGGAATCATCTCCTTGATGGAAGCATCAGTGGAGATCTTCACATAGGTTGCATAGTCGGGCTTCGCACTTCCCTCCATTATCCCAGGAATGGTGTTGAACTGCCTGCGGACCTCCTCCATCATCTTCAGGGCGGCACTTCCAACACTCTTCATGGTCATGGCAGAGAACCAGTAGGGAAGCATGGCTCCAACAATCAAACCAATGAAAACCTTCAGGGAGAGGACATCGACAACCGTCACTCCAGCTCTGCTGACGAAGGCGCCAAAAAGCGCCAGGGACACAAGAGTAGCTGAACCAATGGCAAATCCCTGCAAAGAGATACAGATGAATTAAGTTACCAGAGGAGTACAATTGTTCTTTTGTTGCAGATTACTATCTACTACTACTACATAGGGATACAGATGAATTAAGTTACCAAATGAGTACAATGATTCTTTACTTCTTTTGCTATCTTCTACCTACTACTACATTCTCATATGTTAAAATATTAAGGAATACATAACCTACCAACAGTGCCAATAATGACAGTGGCAAATGAACAAGTTGAGCCAACAAATGAATAAAAAACATTTTTACCTTTCCAATAGCAGCAGTTGTGTTGCCAGCAGCATCAAGAGCATCAGTTCTCTCACGGATTCTGTGGCTCATTCCAGCCATCTCAGCAATACCACCAGCATTGTCACTGATGGGACCATAAGCATCAATAGCAAGACCAGTTGCTATTGTGCTCAGCATACCAAGAGCGGCAACTGCGATGCCGTACATTGCAGCAATGGAGAAACTGACATAGATGCTAATAGCGATAGCGAAAATCGGGATGATAACCGACTTGTATCCAAGAGCGAGACCAAAAATGACATTAGTGGCAGCACCAGTTCTGCACGAATCGGCGACATCTTGCACAGGACTGCCACAGAATAAACATGTTAGGATTAAAACACCATCACAAAGAAATGATAACAAGAAAAACATAATAGAGACTGGTAGGATGCGAACCTGTATGCATTGCTAGTGTAGTATTCTGTGACAAAACCAATAATCAGACCAGCCCACAGACCAATTGCAACACAGAAGAACAAGCCCCTGGAAAGATATGGCAGTTGTCAAGACGGTACATTCCATTCTACAAATAAATGGCAAAGGTTAACAAAAAAAAGCATACCAGTTGGAGACCTCCTTCTGAGTACCGAAGTTGTAGAAGGTGAACTTAGCTGGAAGGGCCAACCAGCTGATTACAGCAATACCAACAGTCATCAGGGTGGTGGAGATGATGAGCTGCTTCTTAAGTGCAGGCTCAATTTCCTTCACAGCCTTGACTTCAAAGAAATCAGTAGCAAAAAGGGTGGTGATTAAGCAGACGATGATACCAACAGAGGTAACAAGGAGTGGGTAGCACATCCCAGTGAAATCATGGTCAATTCCGAAAGATGGAATAGACGCAACAACAAGGGCAGCACAGGAAGACTCAGCATATGACCCAAAGAGATCAGATCCCATTCCAGCAATGTCACCAACATTGTCACCGACATTATCAGCAATCACCTGCAAAATAAGATTTAAAAGTTTAGGGAAGGAAATGCCATGTATTAATGATTGTATAGCTCCTAGAATTGTCCTAAAATGAACACTATATGTCAAGAAAACTTACAGCTGGGTTCCTAGGATCATCCTCAGGAATGTTCCTCTCGACCTTTCCAACAAGATTGGCACCAACATCAGCAGCCTTTGTGTAGATGCCTCCACCAACTCTTCCGAAGAGAGCCATGGATGACCCACCAAGGCCATAACCAGTGATGGACTCAAAAAGACCCTCCCAGTCATCACCGTAATACAACTTAAATACATTAATGGTCATATACAGAACCACAGGCCCACTTGATGCAAGCAGGAAACCCATAACAGCGCCAGAGTGGAAGGCAGTGATAAAAGCCTTGCCAACACCCTTCCTAGCTTCTAGGGTAGTTCTGGCATTCGCATATGTGGTAATCTTCATGCCAAGGAAACCAGATACCAAAGACGTGATTATTTTATATGTATTATAGTTAAGATATAAGAAAAAAATCATAACACACAACAAAAAAGAATATTAAGCCCTCCCTGTCATTGCTTTCGAAGGTGTTAAAATCATATTATTAAGGAATAAAAACTGTGCAGGCAGATGATAGCTCATGAATACCATTTTCTATACTCTAAAAGAGCAGAAAAAGATGTACTGCAATTTAGCATATGAAGAAGAAAACGTTCGATTTATTTCTTGTGCAGTGATTTGGAAATCACTGACAGTTTCCATGACAATCAAGTTCAGGCTTCAGTAAGGATGTATGGCTGCAGCTACTTAACAAAAATTGGGATTGTTTCATTCAATGCACTGAGCAAAGAGATTATTGGTTGTTCTTGTTAAGCAGTGCAGAAATAACCAACTTCATGTGTTTTCGGTAACACATTGTTTCACAGCCTATAGCCACCGGAAAGGAACTTATTTAGTCACGGTACAACAAATACTCAAGAGGGGACAGACGGTGAAACGAAGCAAACAATAAGGTCTCTAGAGTCAATACCGATGGCTCCAAAGTTAGTCTTCTTCAAAAAGTGCTCTTCCGCGTGCAGAAACGCACTGATGAGGCTCTCGTATCCTTGCCATCTTTCAGCCGTCACAGAACAAATCGACCTATCCAAAGGAGATGATGATGAGGTTCGCAGAGGTAGCTAGCTTACCGATGATGAGGAGGAAGCTGGAGACCAAGGTGCATGGAAGCGCCGGCGCGGCCGAATGCGTCACCCCCTACTTGCCACCACCGGCAGCTGCGACCACCCACGGCCCACCCTGCGCCGGAGACCGAGGTCACGCAGCAGCCATGGCTGCCAACCGAGAACTCCGGCAGTAGCGGCTCATTCATCCCACAGGCGGATGTGGCAGTGGAGGAACTGATAGGGATCCAGCCGCCTCTGCGCTGCGCCTCCGCCCGCAAGCGGAGATCACACGCCGTCTCCAGATCCGGCCAGGGGCTTGACGAATCCTGCCATGGGGGCACCGGATCCAGTCCCGGCGGCGCCAGATCTGAGCCCTCGCCTACCAAAACCGATACAGGGAGCACGGGCGCCAGATCTTTTCGCACAGAAGGGAGAGCAGGGAAGGGATGGGCATACCCTGGTTGACCACCTGCGCCGCCGGGATGCCACGCACAGACGCGTGCGCCACCTCCAGCACCGGGACGCCGTGCCACCTCACGGTGGTCAGCTTTGGTGGCACTGACGAGCTGGAAGGCAAGCCCGGTGTCCTGGCTGAGGATATGGTGGATGCTGTCGAGGAGCGATGCCTAGAAGTGGCCCAAGCTGAGCGCGTCCTTCTTCACCAGCGCCACGGTGCCCCTTAATCCGGCCCTCCAGCACCATGGACGCCGCGCCGCCTCACGGTGGTCGAAGGCGTGCAGCACGGCCAAGCAGGGAGTCACGGAGGGGAGGGGAGCGATGCCGCGATCGCAAGGGGAACGACGAGCAAGGAGGAGACCGAGGCAGCCACGGATGGTGATCGCGGGATCAACGTAGGAAAGATGTAGCGATTTCCTACTGGGCGAAGCAAGTAGGATGCGGCGGCAATCTTTCCTAATAGGCGATCGATCGCGGGATCTTCGCGGTCCCACCTGGCGGCGCAGGAAGTCGCATGGGGGTGCCGTTCGCATGAGGCGGCAGACGGACGAACCAATTTTTGTCGCACCAAAACGTGTCCATCTTTTAGTCTTTTTAGTTGTGTGAGAATATGGCGCGCGGCGAATGGAATAGCTGTCTGGCGGACACGTAGGCATGTGAAATATCTTTCTATCTTGGCGACTGCACTTGATCTGTAGTTGGATCCGGTGATTTGTAACAGTTGATTAGTTCAAAGGAAAAAAATCACACCATATATGTAATATATTTTTTTTGACTTTTGCTATTTGTCTACTGAAAGACTTTTTTACTAATTCTGTTAGATTTATATATGTTTAATTGTGCTTTTTATGATTTGCTACAACCGTCACTTTAACGGGTTTGTAACTACTGGGTTGCATTTATAAAAAAATCTGACAGATTTGACCACATAAAATCTTTCGATAAATAACTAGATGGTCTTTTTTTATTTGTTTGTGTGGACATGAATATTTTGTTTGGCTGTCCGTTGTCATCCGGATGTTCGTGCTCCTCCTCCACCTCACGTGGCACATCTGCCACCAGACTTATGTCTAGGGCTCCCCCGCGGTCGGATCCTGCACTGGTCTTGACGCCAGGGGCTCCCCGTGGGGCCTCACTTGTTGCCGCAAGATCACGGCAATAGCCACCCATGGTACCAGGTCCTTGCACCTTGCTTGGGAGCAAGATGTGTGGCGATGTGTGCGAATGCGTGCGGGAGTGCCCTGCTCTCCATGCCACCTCGCCGTCGACCTCCCCATTTGCGACGGCAACGACAAGCGCAATTTGTCACACGGCCATATGGAATAGGAGAAACAAGTCTTAATAATTGAGATGCCTTATATCTTTTTCTATAGGTGGTTATGATAGTTACTTTCATGTTATTAGTATTCTAAGACAAGTGGCTCTAGGACAAGTTAATGTCTTCCTTATGTACTATGCACATTTGACTTATGTACTATGCCCATTTGATTAAGGCATTGATATGGACAAATTGGTTATGGAGGTTTGTTTTCCTTTGATTGGATTAGAGTTTCTCGTATCGTCTTTTATATGCTTATGGAAGGCTATGAAAAAATAATATTAAAAAAAATATTCTGTGCAAATGAGTAGGATTAATTAAGTGAATAGATGTGAAAGAAAATTGGCGGCCACATCAACCTTTCTCAACCAGGCAGGTAGATTAGAATTAACAAACTCAGTTTTCTCTGCATTTCCAACTTTCTACATGGGAACTTTCTCCATCCATAACACAGTCATCAGCCAAATCGACAAATTCAGGAAACATTGCTTATGGATAGGTGCAGACATAAATGCTCAACAAAGACCAAAAGCAGCTTGGGTGGGAGTGTGCAGATCAAAGGAGGAAGGAGGCCTGGGTATTCTAAATCTAAAAACCCAAAATGAGGCTTTACTGCTAAAGCAAATGGCCAAATTTTTTAACAGAGAAGATATGCCTTGGGTTGCACTAGTGTGGGAGAGCTACTATGAAACAGGAAACTTACCACCACAAACCAACAAAGGATCATTTTGGTGGAGGGACATCCTTAAATTGCTGGACAAATTCAAGGGCATGGCAATGCCAACAATAAATGATGGAAAATCATGCTACTTGTGGCCAGACTTGTGGAACTACAAAATCCCAATGCAGGCATATCCAGAGCTTTTCTCTTTTGCAAAATCAAAAAATACTACCTTGGCTGCTGGGAAGGAGTGTTCTGATTTAGCTAGTCTATTCCACTTGCCTCTGTCAACACAGGCCTATGCTCAGCTGCAGCAACTTAACTCTGATCTGCAAAGCCTAACTTTAACAGAAGAACATGATAAATGGACATATATCTGGCAGTCAGGCATCTTTACAGTGTCAAAAGCTTACAAACACCTAAGTGGTCATGCTATGGTTCACCCAGCCTTCAAAAGAATTTGGAAAAGCTCCTGTCAAAATAAACATAAAGTTTTCAGCTGGCTGCTTCTCAAAGACAGATTAAGCACAAGGGAGATACTAAGAAGAAGAAAATATGGAATTACAGGATTACAATTGTGCTCTTTGTCAGGATCCGGTCGAAGAATCTCTCAGTCACCTTTTTGTTGGTTGCCCTTTTGCAACGTCTTGCTGGAACTGGTTGCAACTTGAAGTGGATCATCAATTGGATTTCATAAAGAACCTTGAATTGTTTAGAAGACAGCTTCAGGTGCCTTTCTTCACAGAAATCATCATAATCATGTGTTGGACAATATGGATGGCGAGAAACGGGCTTATCTTCAATCAAGTTCAACCTTCACTTCAAGAATCCAAGAAGGAATTCAAACAAGAGTTTGCGCTTCTCATCTTGTGCGCCAAGAGAAAATATTTCCCATCAATTGAATTATGGTTAAACAGTCTAGTTTGATCTCTTTAGCCTGGTTTATTTTTTCATCTCTTTTTTTGTTTCTTAATTAGCTTCCAGCTTCCAGCTTTCAGCTAACTGCTTTTAGTACTTCTTGTAAGCACTTTATTAATTTTCAATAAATTTCAGTAGGGGCTTGCCCCTCGTGTTTTCTTAAAAAAAAAAGACTGACTCACGATCCAAGTTACAAATATATACCATTGCTGTCTGCCGCGCGATCCAAGATTCCAAGCCAAGTCGTTGGTGACCAAATAATTCACTCAGTAGTGGTCATACCAATAGCTTTAGCTTTGGGTGGCTACGACTCGTTGTAAGTGAGATTCTACTTTGGATGCTGAGGAGATATCCATGTCATGCCTTGGATTATATACAAATTAACATGCCTTGGTTTAAAGTTGTCTGAAGCTAATTGTTTACAACTTTGATTGACTACGCGTTACTTTTCTTGTATTAAGCTTAAGTGTGTTTGGAAGTTCTACTAGTATATTTGTCTAGAATAATAGTTTTATGCAATACGATTATACGACATTTGATGTACTCCCTCAGTTTCCAAATTATTGTTCACTTTAGGCCTCCTTGGTCCATAAAAATGGATTAATGACACAGGATTGAGAATCTGAATAGAATTGTTATTATTTATAACTTTGGTTCTCAAGACTCAGCATAGGAGTAGCAAAGGAATTGCTATTTTAGAGGAAAACTGTAGAAAACTTAGCATCACTCAAATTATTGGTAAAAAAATTTTGTGAACAAAGAAAAAACTCGACCAGCAGTCACAGCCTCCGGGCATTGTGCTTAAAAAGAAGACTTTCTCGCACGGGTCGAGAAAAAACCTCCGAACCCCTGCCCTATCCATACACAGCGGCACCGCAGCTCCCATGATACTGGGCTGGCCTTAGACCTGTGCTTTGGCGTGGGGTAGATGACAGGAATTTTGTGTGCCCCCGCCCAGCAAAACGCGCTAGCTAGTGGGGTTCGAACCTGGGTCGCAAGGGTGCAACTCGGGCTAGCCAGTCACAGTCTAGCATCCACTCGCAAATTTTTTGTGAACAAAAAACAAGGAACTCAATGCTGCCACTATGGAACGCCCCAACCTGTTAGAAGCCTATAGTAGTTGGGTCATTGGTCCGTGTGGCCTATGTGGCATGTGTGGTTGTAGTCGGTGGATTTAGTATTACTTTGGAAGTTTAGGAGGGTAAAGAACAACTTATACTCCTTGTCGTTTTAAACTTATCACCTCTGGGTTAACCTTTATACACAAAGCGAGGATGAAAGCGTAAGAGAGGTGCTACGCTTATGCAGGCCCGTTCCATGTGCGGAGCTGGGCCATATAAGCAGTTTTTGGACGTGGAGTGTTACACACTACTAGTTAATGGTAGTTCTTATATGTGGGGTCCAATTGTCAGTTGGTAATAGAAGAGATGTTTAACCTTGTTTCATCAAACTACCGAGAAAGGAAAACTACATCATAGCTAAAAATTCTTTGGGATTCCGACATTTTTTTCTTTGACCTACCCAAATGATGATTGCTTCAAAAATTCTTACGCTTATGTGTTCATGTGTTTTAGCATTCCTATATTCCGAACGGGTTCTTTTTACATTCTCCCAAATCAAACTTTCCTTTTGACTAAGTTTTTAGAAAAAAATATATTAACATCTACAAAAGTTCAACTAAATACAATATGAAGACATTCCATAAAAAATAATGAAACTATCAAACTAATCTGATGGTGTAGATATTCATGGTTTTTTTTATAAACTTGGTCAAATTTAAAAGAGTTCGGCTTAGAACAAGGCTAAACTGACTTATAATTTAGAATGGACTGAGTATTATTTTATAGTTATATTATAATCAAAAGCATTAATTAAAGTTTAATTTAGTTGATTTCAAATAATCTCAAAATGTTATTTATTTGTGACTGAAGAAAGTACGGTTTTGTGCTAATCATGGTTCATACAAGGAATACAATTTGGATTTCAGCCCAAAATGAAATATGATTAAAATGGACTAACAAAGTGTCCTAAAAATATCCATTGATGCCACCACTTTCATCCCTTTACACGGTGTATATTGGGGGCGTGGCGATTATAAAAAAACTCGATCTGCGGTGGCTAGACAGCCCCGGGTATTTCGGCTTAAGAAGAAAATCTTCTCACGCAGATCGAGAAAACCCCCGAACCCCTGCCCCACCCATATAGGGCTAGCTATATCCTACATGTTCATGCAAGTTGGCCAATCAACACTATCTATCTTTTACAACTTTACAATGTTAAGGTCACCGATGTGGTGCAGGCTATTATCAGCGAGTGGAAGCATGGTGTCTATCATGGGCCATAATATGTACAAGCTAAGTTGGCCAATCGTTCGTGTCTGTTACAACTTCAAGTCAAGGTCGCCATGCAATGGTCAATGGTGGAGGCTGTTATCACTTATCAGCGGGTTGAATCAGGCAATGCCCTCTGCCGTGCAATCGAGGTCTCTGCCACCATTGGACGTGCAAACACTAACACGCTTGCTCGCATAGTCGCATTATATTCGATCAAAGTCGTCGCATAGTCAGCATTGTATTCGATCAAAGTCGTCACCAAATTCACCATGCTCTTCTGGCCAACGACACACTCGGTAAGCACGAAAGCCGCTTTTTCGGCGCCTCCCGTGTGCATGTCGTTCGTTGAGGTACGGGATGGGCTGCAAAGGGGTTGCTCCAAGACTGAAAATTCAGGCAAATTTTGCAGATAGATTGTACCAAGCTGTTTGGAAGCAGCGAAAATCCCCAACAACTTTGTGTCTGTACCTGTGCATGCAATAGCTATCGTTTCAACAAATTTGTATGCTTCCAGTCTTCCACAGTTCCACTGCAATAGCAGTGGCAATAACGGTTCCCAGGAATACAATGACTATTGCAAGCAAATAAAAAAAAGTAACCCTCATACATGAAATTTATGAGATGGATACATAATTAACAAGACTTCCTGCCTTTTTAACCTTCTTAATGAAATCTGTGAGACGAAAAAAAAGATCGTTTTGTAGTGGGAAATCCCCAAGACACTACAACTACTGCAATCACTACCGGAAACCGGCTATTTGCCGAGTGTTTTTATGTTTGCCGAGTGCAATTCCTCGGGCACTCGGCAATCAAGCTCTTTGCCGAGTGCTGCTAAAAAAACACTTGGCAAAATAAATGCACTCGGCAAACGATGCAAAAAACACTCGGCAAAGTTCGACACTCGGCAAACTAGAAAAAAATACTCGTCAAAGAAATATGA